AAGTGGGTTATGAGATATCTCTATGGCACTTCTAGTCTGAGTTTGTGTTTTCGTACAGGGAAGCCTATTATTTGTGGTTATACTGATTCAGACATGGCTGGTGATGTTGATACTCGCAAGTCTACTTCAGGGTACTTGGTTACTTTTGCAGGGGGAGCTGTGTCTTGGCAATCTAGGTTGCAAAAATGTGTTGCTCTATCTACTACAGAAGCTGAGCTTATTGCTATCGTTGAAGCTTGTAAAGTATTGCTTTGGATGAAGAGATTCTTGGGGGAACTTGGTTGTGCTCAAGAGAGGTATGTGCTTTATTGTGACAGTCAAAGTGCTATACATCTTGGCAAGAATTCTACGTTCCATGGTTGGTCTAAACACATTGATGTGAGATACCATTGGATTCGAGATGTGTTGGATTCTAAGTTGCTTGAGCTTGAAAAGATTCATACAAATGACAATGATTCCGATATGATGACTAAAGCTTTGCCAAGAGGAAAGTTTGAAGATTGTTGCATGGTCGTCGGGATGGCGGTCTCCTCCACATAGTCGTGAGGGGGAGAATTGTTGGGTTATGGGTCTTTTTTCCCTTCCTATGTGGATAAATAAAAGCCCAATTTGGACCAATCCATTTTTGCCCGTAGTCCCATTCTTATTAGGCAAATTTAAGCCTATTTAGGTCTTATTTTCATATACACAGAGAGTTTTTCAGCAGCCAAAAAGAGAGAAAAAGAGCAGTTTTTTGCAATCAAAATTCAGCCCTAACAGCCAACTTCAAATTGCGATTCCCGCTTCGTTTCTTATCCGATTGAGCTGATTTTTGGATAGCATATTATCTTCATCTCAATCTTTGATTAGGAACTGACAGAATTGGATTTAGTGGCCTGCAGCTTCAGTTTTGCTGTCGTGAATAGTAGCTGCGAAATTGGTGATTTTGCTCCTTTAATTCTCTAGATTTGGTGCAATCTTATTTTGTTGTTGCTCGTTGTTTGTCACTTGTTTTGTGGCCAATTTTGGAGAACAATATTGTAACTCTTGGTGATTATAGTGGAGCTTTTGGTCCCGTGGTTTTTTACTCTTCACATCGAAGGGTTTTTCACGTAAATCTTGGTGTCTTGTGTGATTGGTTTATTATTGACTTGTTATATTTGTTTGGTTGAATTATTTGCTGCCTTACTATTATATTGCTTGTGGTTGTTTGTCTTCTCTTGGTTCAAATCGAGAAGGGAAAGTATAGACTTTGGTATTCTTTCGCCGTTATCCTGTCAGACATTCTTTGTTAGTGCCTTGTCTTTCCTAACAATTTGAACCCAAGTAAACTTGGATGGATCAAGACCAAATCTAATTTCTATTTCAATCTATTTTAATATATGCAATTTCAATTCAACCCGCTCATTTAACATCTCTACACATCACCCTTAGCTTTTTTTATGAGAATCAATGTTTGTGCAGCCTGCCAAGGAAAATGCTCAGACTTCTCCTCAACAAAGTGATGTTGTGCAAAGTCCACCAAAAGTAAAACAAGAAAAGGTATTATAACAAAAAGAAGGTGTAAATTGACTCTGTTATGCTTGTACTGAGTTCTCAACATGTATTCTTTATGCAGATTGAGTGATTCCTTTTGTAGTAGTAGGAGTGTATTCTGTTGCCTACATGCGCTTGGGTATCAGTTGGTGTTATGATGTTACCAAATACAGTTGGTGTTTGAGAACTTTGTTATTAAGTTTCGTATCTTTTTTGTGATAATCTTTTGTCAAATCTTATGCATATTGAAGTTATCGATCTCTTCATAATTTTTCTACAAATGGTATTCAATATTTATTAAAAAATAACAACTTATAACCTATTATTTTAAAAAATGAGGTCCCTTAAATTTAGAGGCCTAACACACGTCTTTTTTTCACTGTCGAGTCACCCTAAATCTGAATACCCTTAAATTTCACACAATCTCCCCTTGGGTATCAGTTGGTGATATGATGTTACCGAATACAGTTTCATAATTAAGACTCTACTCATTTTAATTTCATAATTTTGCGTTACATATATTGCTACCTTTGAGATTACAAACGTTGCATAAGCAACCCTTTTTTCTGTGGAAAAGAAAATTACAAATTTATTATGCTTCTGTCAAGAAGCAAAAGCAGATAATTAACTCTTTCAAGACAAAACTATTCTTACCAAAATTTTGTGTTTACCAAACTGTTATTTGCTAATATATTACCCATTTATCTCTAAAATATTATACAACCATCTTGCCTTTTCCTTTTTTTGTTTTTACTGTCTCTTCTTCCTCTCATAGAAAATATGTTTTAAGATTGGTCAAAAGAAATGTGTTTATCAAACACTTTAATGTACTTTTTGAAAAGCTAGTATAAAAGTGATTAAAATAAGCAATTATAGTATATACGGTCAAACATGAGCAAAGTTGAATTTTCTTACCATTAAAAATCGAATGACTTTATTTTTACCTTTACAAGCCAAAGTAATGGTCCATAACATAGCAATAACTGTTAGAAATGTGTGATTATCTTATCTAAAAGCTTAAGTTATTAAAGAGAACAGTACACAATTTTATCATTTAATGATATTTTCAACGACTACAACTACTGCAGGAACACTCCTTTTTCTATCCATTTACTTGAACTTTCAAAAAAAATTAATATCGTTTAATTAAAGGCACGTGAAGATCCTCGAGGATTGTTAACATAAACTACTAGTTAATTTGAAGACAATTTCAGTTAGGTGTTGCTAATTGAAATTTCGATTGGCTCAATTAGTGATTTGATACTTTCATAATCTGCATATATAACATACGAAAATTTACAAAATAAGGGGTTTACCAGCTTTAGGGCTCGTTTGACCTTGAAAATGGATCGTTTTGGTCGTGGTGACCAACCGGCTCTATAGATAAGGTCTTGACAGTCGTCCATGTAAATTTTCATCAAAAATGACATTGGGATTTTGGATCACCAATAATCTCATGGACTTGTAGCACACGAAAATAACACAAAATGGGGGATTTAAATGCTTAGGGCTCATTTGACCTTGAAAATGGACTGTTTTGGCTGTAGAGACCAACCAATTCCATAGATAATGTCTTAACTGACATCCATGTAAATTTTTGGCAAAAATGATCTCGAAATTCTGAATCACTAAAAAAGATAGTGGACTATAGCACATAAAAATCGACAAATTGGGGTCTTACTTGCTTTAGGGTCGTTTGACATTGAAAATGAGTTATTTTGACCGTGGTGACCAATCGACTCTATAGATAAGGTCTTAACGAACGTCCATGCAATTTTTTGGCAAAAATGATCTCAGAATTCCGGATCATAAAAAATGATAATGGACTATAGCACATGAAAATCAATAAAATAGGGAGTTTACTGCTTTGGGATCGTTTGACCTTGAAAATGACCCCTTTTTGGTCGTGGTGACCATCTGACTCCATAGATAAGGTCTTAACAGACATCCATGTAAATTTTTGACAAAAAATTCTAGATAACAAAAAATCATATGGACTATAGCCACGAAAATCGACACAATAGGGGGTTTACCTGCTCTGGGGCTCGTTTGACCTTGAAAATGAGTCATTTTTGTGGTGACCAACCAGTTCCATAGATAAGTTTTAATTGAATTTCATGTAAACATTTGGGAAAAATGATCTCGGAATTCAAGATCACCAAAAAAATGGTGGATTATAACACACGAAAATCGTCAAAATGGGGTGCGGTTACTTGCTGTTGGGTCGTTTGACCTTGAAAATGACCCGTTTTGAACGTGGTGGTGACCAATCGTCTCCATAGATTAGGTCTTAACAGACTTCCATGCTAATTTTTGGCAAAAATGATCTCAAAATTCCGAATCACCAAAAATATGGAGACAAATTTGCATTCTCGACCTTAGTCTTTTGGTGCCATTGTTCTTTGTTCATGGGCTTGGGAGAGGTTGGTACCATTGCAGCCAGATCAGGCTCAGAATAACAATATGGTTAATGGGGTGAGAATACGACGATGGCACAATATGAAACAACTATGTGTAATTAATGTCATAACTGAGGACTACTATTGATTCCTCTGGAGAGAGACGTTTCAGTGGAGGCCATAAGCCTTGTATATGGAAGGTTTATTAGTTCCCAATTCTTACAAGGGAAAAAAAGAGTGGACAATAGTTGAAGGGCAAACTTTGGATCAGAAATGGAATCTGTTGTTCAATGCTTGAGGGCATATGAGCTTGTTTGTTTAGATTGTCAAGAACTTTATCGACCAAATCGGGTAGCAATGCAATTTGGATATGATCAAGTCTTACCTAAATGGATTCCTCAATCGCCTTCAAGTCTGGAACTTAGCCGACCTATTGATTTTAATTTGAGGTTATACTATCCGTCTAGGCTGTTTGAACCGGATGTAACGACACATTATTTGAAATGGTGGAGAAAAGACAATTATTTTTAGATGATGCATTGAAAGTATTGTCTCTAATACAAAGCTAATTAATCACTGGAAGTCAAGTGAGAATAAGGGGACGACTCTTCCTAGATTTCATTAAATAAATAAATGAGTGATACTTCTCGATTATATTTGTATGATGTGTCTTTTCTAGATTTACCCATAGCTACAAATTCACTCATTTGGACAAAATAACTCGTTCCCTTCATTTCACTAACTTTCCTATTTACTCATTAATTAGGGGAGCGGTGTTCATCATCATTTCTAACCTTTAATATAATGCTCCAAGATATATATATATATCTATATCTATATCTATATATCTATATATCTATATCTCTATCTATATATCTATATATATATCTCTCTCTCTCTCTCTCTATATATATATATATATATTACTCACTTCTATAGAGAAGCTAGCTTTGTTACTGGTAAACTAGCTAGCATTAGAGAGGAACCTTCTTGGAGGATAACTATGTCCACATAGATTTGGTTTTTGAAGTTGGAACTTAATTTGAAGGGAAAGATTAATACTTGTGGACTTTATTGAGATACATGTATCTTAGATAAAAATCTTTATTTATTATTGAACACGGCTATATATAGCCATGGTACTAATCAAACTACAATCATATTATTATAACTTCATTTTATCGTTGATCCTTGCATTGTGCGAGAATACAACAAAACATATAATGAAGTTATTAGATAGAATTAGCTGCCAAAAGGCCTTTGGTTGCCGCAATCAAGATTGTCACCAGTACTAACTCCAAGAATTCCGCAATACCTCCTGTAAAATCCAATTCGATCTTGTACCCTGTTGTCATTACCACGACCACATTCTAGGCCCCCATTGATGATGTTTGTGATGACACCAAATCCAGGAAGACGATTGGCTGATCGGTCACCGGCAGATGGGTTCCATCTTCCAATGATGACATCGTGGCAAGAAGGCTTTGGTGATTGAGGGGTCATCCAGAACCAGATAGCAGTCTTGAATGAGATGACTGGGTCTGTGGCTACTAAATCAGGATTGTTTAAAAGGTCCACTCCGATGGCTCTTCCACATGGCCCATAGTTGTAGTTGCTGTTTTGAAATGTCAAAATACACGTAATTAGACACTACAAGTTCATCAAATTTTACCATATATAGATTTATGTAGCTTACTGTGAAATTTGGATTGGGCCTCGTCCGAAATATTTCCTTCCAGGTGCACAAGGCCATTGACTACTTGGTGAACAGTAGTCACCGGGGTTACCTCGTTCTCTAAGGAAACAGTAACCCCATGCGAATGGTCCATCAGGTGCGGAAGGCCATCCTCCTACATATATAATCAATTACTAAATAAAATAAAATGAAATTATATTTTAATGGTTCGATGTGAATGGTTATACACATACCAGTAGTTTCATGGGAGGTTTGGGCAAAGAAAGCAGCAATTTCCCTTTTACGGGCATTGATATCACCACTTGTACCAAAGCCAGGAAAAGACCTAGCAGCAGTAATAAAGGCATTGTAACTGTAGAAATTATTCTTTCCTTGACAAGAATTTTCGTTACGATGCTTAAGCATTTGATCAAACATAGAATTTGAGATGACGCTTCCGAGGTCCCCACCAGTAACAGGACCAGGACCAGGGCCGCCACCTGGACACTGACTTTGACAATTGCCAGAACCACAATGGTCATTAGTGTTACCGCACCACCCGAATTTGCTGCAACATTGTCCCGACGCACAAACTTTGCCTCCGCCCTGTGAACCACAATTCTGTGCCAAGGCAGCACTCAGCAAAACCAGAGAAAACAGCAAAGAAAAAGTAGTCAATTTAGAAGTTCGCCTCATTTTGAATGTGATGGCAAACAAATGCTAAAGTGAAAGCTATTTATAGGCAAGTGGTTGTGAGGAATCAGTGACTTTTATGACAAAATTGATAGTCCACCCTGTCGTATCCAGAATTTAATTCAGTTATAAGTAAAAGAGACGGGCGGCTTTGGACGTTATTCCAGACTTTTCTCTACATAATTTGGACTGGAGACTATAGTTGCTGGATATTTTTTGTTTACTCTTATTAAATTTACCTATTAAATAAAAACTGTACTACAAATTATAATATTCATAGTTAGAGTAAATTAAATTTGTAGTGGAAAACTATGTAACTCATCGAATAGCAATATCTCTCAAGTAATGTTCAATCACCTCTTAGACTAATGTCATGTGGATCATAAATAAATTATTGTTGAGATTTATTTCAAATCTCAATTAACAAAAGAGCCAAAAATGGTAAAAGTAAAGCTAAAGGTTGAACTGGTTTCTATGTAGGTTATTGTTAGTTCGGCTGGAATGACAATAGCATTCGTTTTCTAACTAGTTTTGCCTTGTTTATTTTGTTGCTTGTTGAGAACTGTCTTGTTTGGTAATCATTCCTTGCTTTTACACTTGCGTAGGTTCGAGTCTGAGTCTATTTGCTCTATTTGAGAACCAAAGACATCGAGATAAATATTTTGACTAAATTTTGCATGATATTGATGACACTTACAAATTAAAGTAATTATATAAGGTAGTAGCTAGTGCTAGAAGAAATAGGGCCGGTAAATTTTGCATGATATTGATGACATTTTCAAATTAAAGTAATTATATAAGGTAGCAGCTGGTGCTAGAAGAAATAGGGCAGGCTGGGTCAAAGTTACATAATTTGAAAGTGTATCTTTGGGCTGCTAATTCTACTCTTCCCCTTTAACTCCATACTTAATTTGATAAGGTTTCCTTACATGAGTCCAAAATCATACAAATTAGGAGTATTTACAAAGTACAATGAATTTGTTTAAATGAAATTAATAACTCAATAAAAATTACTAAGAGAAATTTGAAATTTATGAATTATGAATTTATATGTATTCAGACTTCAAAGATTTCTTAATACGGATAAAGAATTTTGACAAAATTTAATACTTTATTGTGATTTCTGAGTGATACTAGTGGGGAGTCGCCCGTGCGCCCAATATTTATTTTGTTGTGATGAACTTTAATTTCTCAGTGAACTACAAAATAGTGGTAATGTGCAATTAAATTGAATTTGTGTGGCTAATTCATATAACATAGCGACCAAGTTGAGCATAAAATAAATCTGAACACATTAATGAAGACATTGGGTGTGTTTGATATGTAGGAAAACATTTTCTAAAATAACTAGATTTTGATTTATTTTCTCATATTTGGTTGGTGAATAGAAATTTTTTCTGGAAAAGAGTGTTTGGTTTTTGAATAAGTAAAAAATGTTTTTGAGATATATCTTTTATTTTTACTAGAATAGAAAATAAAATTTTGAAATTGAAAATATTTTTTAAAAACAAATTTAAATATTTTTTTTGGGGGGTGGGGGGGTGGGGTGGGGTTTGGGGAGGGGGGGGGAAAGGGTGAAATGAAATTTTGAAGTAGAAAATATTTTTTAACAACAAACTTAAAAAAAAAAATTGGGGTGGGAATGTGGGTGGGGGGTTGAGGTTAGGGGTGAAAAAATGAATTTTTGAAGTTGAAAATACTTTTCAAAAACAAACTTAAACTTTTATTTTTTAGCGGGAGGGTGGGGGTGGTCGAGGGTAGGGATGAAAAAAAATGAAATTTTGAAGTTGAAAATATTTTTAAAAGTAAACTTTAATTTATTTTTTTTTGGGGGGGGGGGGGTTGGTAGAGGGCGGGTAAGGGTGCGGGAGGGGGGTCGAGGGTAGGCGTGAAAAAAATATATTTTTGAAGTTGAAAATATTTTTTTAAAATAAATTAATTTTTTTGGGGGGTTGAGGGTGGGTGGGATATGGAGGTCGAAAGAGAGTTTTGGAAAATGTTTTCCTTAATTTTTGAAGATAAGTCATTTTCCTTAATTTGAGGAAAATGAATTGATTTGAAAAACATTTAACTCAATCAAGCATGAGAAAATTGGAAAACATTTTCCTACGTACCAAAAACACTCTTCCAAGTGCACTTAAGTAGGTGAAAGAGCAGAAAACCTGTGTTCATCTTCTAAGCTGGCTCAGGTAGGAGATTTTTGGTTGCAACAGAGAAGTGAATGCACCATATTATGAAGTAAAAGATAAATTGTTATAAGAAGAAGTTGGTACCATCGATTTTTTATCCACAGACATAATTGTATATCTTAAAACCTAATTTTTACAGGCTCCATCACGATAGCATATGATTTAATTAGTACAACACATTGACAATGAATTCAAAGCTCACCCGAGATAACAAAGAAACTAAAATCGAAGAAAGAAACAAAAGTGGTGATAAAGATATGACAGAAGCAGAGAACAATTCGATAGAAGTTGAAAATGCAGACTTTCTTTTTTCATTTTGAAGCTACGTTATGACGTTATATGCTAGCATATTTTTTCTGAACAAGCAGTAATTCCCTAGGATAACAGTGACAACAAATTCTCTATTCTCTTTGGGTCTTGAGACCTGTTGACAGTGTTCTCCTCATGAAGTTCGTGGATTTATTTTTCCTACCTGGAGCAACGACCTTTTAATTCCTCTATTTGGTATACTAAAAGAGAAGTTATTAAGATATGTGTCACCCCCTTAATGAAACAAGAGAAATAACTATTTCATCTTTCGTCTTCCAGTCCTCGCTCCTCTTAATAACGACGTATATTTTATGTCATACATGTTGACTAAGCTTTGATCTGTAGTGAGTTGATATGACTAATGTACTGAAAAATTGGTTTCTAAGCATAAATATTTAAAAATCATACATTTAATATCAAATTGTCATAGACTCCAATCAAGAAGCATTATTCACATTACCAACTTGCATCAGACAATATTTTACTATGTTCCCCCTTTTTCATACCATCTATCAATTAAGTGAATGTATTATTTGATATCTATTCCACCTCTCAGAAAAGAAGGTGCTCACTGAAATACAACATTTGTTCCCAACACTGACAAGAAAATATCATAAGGAAATATAGATTCATTGCGATGCTTAAGCATTTGATCAAACATGGAATCTAATAAAGTAAGTATTGGTCATTTTTATACGGTCATAACTCCTAGATCACGATGAGTTAGATGTTCTTCTAGGTATTGGTGGAAAGATCTTGGAATAATATTTTCAACGCCTCCGAGTTTGCACGATTTCGATATCGTATGAGTGAGTTATATCTTTCGGAAGTTGGGCTTTTGGATTGAGGAAAATCTTAATCCGAATTTAGGGAAAGGCAAACTACTCTTTTCATCAAAATAATTTCCTATTTTGCTTTAGGGGTTTATTGGGGTAAAAACAAGTCTTAGATCAGTTTGAAAAAGTTAGAATTACGCTTGGGGCTTGGAGAAAAGAGAATAGAATAAAACAAAGGGAGAGTAGTCAAGAATTCGCCAAGAATGTCTAGTTTTGTGAGTGGAATTCGTCGGGGTGATCTCTATCAAGGTATGTGATATCTTTTAGTGTTGGTCAGTTCACCCACACACCAAACTTGTTTCAATTCATTGACTTTCTGGTTGGTTAAATGAAAAAAAGTGAAGTTCTTGAAGAACATTGTTGAATCCTTGTTGGTTGAGTTGTTGAATGGATAGTGTTGATTTGATTAGTGTTTCGGCGCCCAGCTGAAATTTTGGGGCACGCACTTAAATTACCAAAATTTGAACTAGTCCGAGCTGACATCAATGCGTCATAGCGTTTGGGTCCAATTTTCACCCTCTTGGTTAATGAAACCTCTGCCTTGGTTAGACATCCCCACACTTTGAAATATTCTAAGTTGGGTTTCCCTCCTTTTCATAATTCATATGAAATCGATTGCATTTTGCTACATGGTACCTTATTGAGTATCTTATTAACCGTAAGGATGGCTTCCCCCCAAAGGTTTCGTGGTGAACCAGAACTAATTATCAAGGCAGTCATCATTTCCTTTAATATTCTGTTCTCTATTCTGCCAAACCATTTGACTGTTATAGGGTGCAGTAATTTAAATAATAATATCATATGTTAAACGTATCTCTGCAAAAGGAGATTCGTATTCTCCACTCATATCACTCTGAATCATTTTTTATCTTTATATTCAATTGATTCTCTACTTCATTTTTTTATTGCTTAAATGCATCAATTGTTTTATCCTTACTGTTAAGAAAATACACATAAAAAATTGAGTGCAGTCTTCAATAAATGTTATAAATACTTTTTCCCACCACGAAATGGTGTCGACTTCATATGACATATATCTGTTTGAGTTAAGTCTAAAGGTTTCGAATTTCTTTTAACAGACTCATAAGGATGTTTAACAAACTTACTTTCTACACAAATTTTGCATTTCAATTTATTGCATTTAAAATCAGGCAATACTTCTAAAGTAATCAATTTCCGCAAGGCTTTGTAATTTACATATCCCAAATATTCATGCCATAAATCATTTGACTCGATTAAGTAAACAAATGCAGAATTCTTTTTAAAACTATCAATAACCATTAGATTCAGTTAGAAGAGACTCTCAGTGAGATAGCCCTTTCTTAAGAACATCTCATTCTTACTTATTACATCTTTGTGACTGAGCACGACACACTTAAACCCGTTCTTAACGAGTAGTGCAGCAGAAATTAAATTCTTCCTAATAGTAGGAGCGTGCAGAACGTTGCTCAAAGTCAACACCTTGCCGGATATCATTTTCAATATTACTTATCTAGTTCCTACAATCTTTGTTGTTGTCGTATTCCCAATGAATATATCTCCATCGAACTCAGCAAGAGCGTACATCGTAAAGGCTTCTTTCGGTGAGCAAATATGTTTAGTGGCACTTGAGTCGAGAAACCACTCCTTGGAATTTCCAAATAAGTGGCACTTTGAGATCATTGCAAAAAGGTCATTTGAATTTTCC